CCCACTTGGTTGTAGTGCATTATTTTCTTGATATGTTGTTGAATTCTTTTGGCTAAGATTTTGTTGAGAATTGTTGTGTCTATATTCATGAGGTATACTGGTCTATAATTTTCTTTTTTAGTGGTGTCTTTGCCTGGCTTTAGTACCAGGATTATGCTGGCTTTACAGAATGAATTTGGGAGTTATTTCTTTCTTTTCTATGTTCTGGAATAGTCTGAGTAGGATTGATGTCATCTTTTCTCTGAATGTTTGGTAGAATTCTACAGTAAAGCCATCTGGGCCATGGCTTTTTTTGTTGTTGTTGGAAGTTTTTTGTTTTTTGTTTTTTAAATCTCTTCAATTTCTTTTGTTACAGATCTGTTTAAATTTTCTACTTCAGTGTTGTATTACTTTAGGCAGGCAGTGTGTTTCTAGAAATTTGCCCATTTCTTCTAGGTTTTCAAATCTGTTGGAATACAGTTTTTCAGAATATTCTGTTATGATTCTTTTTATCTCAGTTGGTTCTGCTGGAATCTTGCTCATCTCATTTGTTATTTTGGTTATTTGCATCTTCTCATTTCTTTCCTTTGTCAATTTGGCCAGTGGTTTGTCTATTTTATTGACCCTGTTAAAGAACCAATTTCTAGTCTTGCTGATTCTTTATATTTTCTGTTTTCCATTTCATTTATTTCTGCTCTAATCTTTATTAACAATTTCCTTTTATCTGGTGACTGTGGGCTTCTTTTGCTGCTCTTTTTCTATTTGTTCAAGTTGTCAGGTTAATCTATTGATTTTGGCCCTTTCTTCTTTTTTGATATGTGCATTTATTGCTTTGACTTCTCCTCTAAGCACTGCTTTTGCTGTGTCCCATAGGTTTTGGGTACGTTGTATTTTCATTCTCATTTGATTCTAGGAATTCTTAAATTTCATTTTTAATTTCTTCTATTACCTAGTGTGGTTCATCAAGTCGTTATTCAGTTTCTATGTGTTTGATTTTTTTTTCCCATTCTTTCTGTTACTGAGTTTTAATTTTTAGTATTGTGGTCGGAGAAGATGCTTTGTATTACTTCAGTGTTGAATTTATTGAAGCTTGCTTTGTGGCCTAAAACACGGTCTGGTCTGGAGAATGATCCGTGTATGAAGAAGAATGTATATTGTGCCACTGTTGGAATGTTCTGTATATGTCTTTAAATTAAGTTTGTTAATTGTTATTTAGATGTTCTGTATGTTTGTTTAGTTTTTATTTGTTCTGTCCTTCATCAAAAGGGGTGTGTTAAAGTCTCCAAATATTATTCTGGAACTGTCAATCTCTCTTTTCAATGCTGTGAAGAGTTTGTTTTATGCATTCTGGAGCTCTGTCATTGGGTGCATAGAGATTTATTATAGCTACATCTTGGTGGATTGTCCCTTTAATCATTATATGATGCCCCTCCTTGTCTCTTATGATGGATTTTGATTTAAAGCCTATTTTATCAGAAATTAATATTGCCACTCCTGCTTTTTGGTTACTGTTTACATGATACATTTTTTTCCATCCTTTGACTTTTAACCTATTTATGTCGTGTCTAAGGTGTGTCTCTTGTATGCAACATACTGATGGGTCATGTTTTCTTATCCATTCTGCCACTCTGTCTCTTGGCCGGTGCATTTAAAACATTTACAGTGTGATTATCAACAGGTATGAATTTACTGTTCTCAAATATTATTTGTTGTGGTGTTGCTGTTGTCTCTGTTCCATTTAATTTTCTGTGCCGAATTCTTTTTATATATTTTTTCATTTCCTTCACTGTCGCAGCAGCGTCCCCACACTTCACTGTTGTTTACTTTGTGTTTACCGAGTCTTTACGGTTTTCTTCTTCATTTTGGTGAGTAGGTTTACTATCTCTCTTTGTGCTTACTCTGATGTTTATCTTCTAAGTTTAAAACAGTGTGTTATTTCTTGATTATAGTCATAACTTCCTTCCATACGGAAGTTCTGTCCACACCATTTATTCCCTCTTGTGTTTTGAAGTTGTCATTGCTTACAGACTGACATCTGGTTCCCCATTTTTGTTTCCGTAGCTTTATCTTACTTTTGAGATTTCTCTAAGTCAGCATCTTGGTGATGTCATCATGTGGCTTACTCTCAGGTTGCTGTCTGATGTCGTTGGTTCTCTATCCAAAGGACTCCCTTTAAAATTTCTTGTAAGGATGGTCTGGTTTTTACAAATTCCCTTAATTTATGTTTATCTGAGAATGTCTTAATTTCACCATCATATCTGAGAAACAATGTTGCTGGGTATGTAATTCTTGGTTGGCAATACTTTTCTTTCAGAGTTCTATATATATCACCCCATTGCCTTCTTTCCTGCATGGCTTCTGCCAAGAAATCAGAGCTTAGTCTTACTGGAGTCCCTTTGTATGTGATATTTTGTTTTTCCTGAGCTGCTCTCAGAATTTTCTCTTTAACTTCGGATTTGGAAAGTTTGACTATGATATATCTTGGTGATTTTCTTTTGAGGTCTATCCAGTATGGAAATCTTCTCATCTTTCATGATATTGGGGAAGTTTCCTTCCAGCAGATCTTCAAAAATTCTGTTGTTTTTTTTTTCTCGTCTCCTCCTCTTCTAGGATTCCAATCACACATAAATATTTCTCTTCATAGTGTTCCACATAACACTTAGGCTTTCTTCATTTGCTTTCATTCTTTTTTCTAATTGTTCCTCAAACTGGTATCAAGGGGTCTGTCCTCTATTTTGCTCCTTCTTCCACTGTTTCAATTCTATTTCTATGTCCTTCAACTGTTACCTATTTCTAATACTTTATTGTAATTCTCTGGATTTCTAGTTGCTGTTTTTGTATGATTTCTAATTGTCTGTCATTTTGTTCTTGTATTGTTTTCCTGAATTCTTCTACGGTTTTGTCTATGTTTTCCTTGATCTCTTTGAGGACCCTATATATGAGCCTTTTGAATTCCTTATCAGGACAGTTCCATTACCATCTCTTCCTCAGAAAGGTTTTCTGTCCCTTTATTTTGGTCACTTGATTGTACCATCTTGTCTTGTTTCTTTATATGATTTGATACTGTCTGCTCTCTCCAAGGTATTCGGCTTTTATTTATGATTTTATTTTGTTTTGATAGAGCAGGCGCTCTATGGTTGGGGAGGGGTGGGATGTGCATCAGGGAGCGGTACAGGTGATCTCTCTGGGGCGGGATGGGCGGGGCAGGGGGCTGGGGGTGGCACAGGTGCTCTCTGTAATGGGGGAAGGGCATGGCAACTGGTCGGGGAGCGGGTGGGAGAAACAGGAAAAAAAGAAGAAAAGGGGGTGGGGATTTATCTATTGCTCTATGTTTACCACCTGCCCTACTGGTCAGGTACCACCGTACTGTCACTGGAGAGTCACCCTGTGTCTGGGTCCTGATTTTCTCCCTGCTCTGTGTACGCTGGGATCCTTGAAGCTCTTGTCCTCTTTCCTGTACTTTCTCTCCTTAGCTCCAGTTCATGTACTGCTCATCTTGCTTCACTCTGGGTATGTCTTCACAGTTTCTCTGTCTCCCACTGGGAGTTCCGTGATGTTGTCTTCCCATTCTCCTCACTCAGGGTCACTGCTGGCTTTGTCTCAAAATGGCCCCACTGTGCCAGACTGGCTGGCAGGGTACCTCCACTCCGTATGTCTCCCTGTTTGCTGCTGTCATTCAGTTTCTTTTTCTAGTCAGCATCTGATCTAATTTTATCCTTCTCATTTAATACTCAGAGTTCCAGGGTTGTCATCTGTATCTGTTACTTTGTTTCTTGGGTCTTTGCTGTAGAGGTTTGCATCTGGCTAGACTGCCATCTTGAATCCTTCTCTCATTATCTTTTATAGTATAAGTCTGAATTTTTTTGTCTTTCTAAGACCTCCATAATATGGCTCCACTCCATCTATGTAAGCATGTCTCCTGTTAATCCCTAAAATGTTCAACCATTCCATTTAGACATCCTCCTCATTCTCTCCCAGAAACTGTTACCCTAATCTGAGGATCCTTTATCCCCCATCCAAATCCTACTCATTCATTTCGAAGCTCAGCTCACACCTGATGTTTACAAAGACTCCTCTATTTTTTGTTTATCTAATTATTTTCTCAACTTCTATACTTACAATCAGTACTACCAAGTCTCAACTGAATATTCTCTATTATTTTACTATGTTTGCTTTGTTGTTTTTTCAACTAAACTATTACATCAGTGAGAGCACAGAAAATGTATCCTGTATTGCAAATGCTCTTAGTACAGTATTGGGTATGTAGAAAGCCCTGAATAAATATTTGCCAAATGACTGATACCAAAAGCATGTCCAAGTAACTAAACCACTGAGCATACTATAACCAAGGTCTTCAAACATCATACTAATCTGAAATTGTAAAACGAAACATTTCTACTTCTTTACCAAATAAAATTTGAAGTTGTTCTTATCTTTACATTTAAAATTGTTATAATTGAGAAAAGAAGTATAGTTAATCAACATCTGCCACTTTCTGCAGTAAGATAATAAGTCACTTAAGCATTCCATATATTTTGGAAACCCTGGTAGCATAGTGGTTAAGAGCTATGGCCGCTAACAAAAAGGCTGGCAGTTCGAATCCACCAGCCACTCCTTCAAAATCCTACAGGGCAGTTCTACTCTGTCCTTTAGGGTCGCTATGGGTCAGAATTGACTTGACAGCAATGAGTTTGTTTTTTGGTTTTGGCAGTATACCACAACCAGCAATTGCTGTCTAGTGAATTCCAACTCATGGTGACCTCATGTGTGTCAGAGGAGAACTGTGCTCCGTAAGGTTTTCAATGGCTGGTTTTCTGGAAGTAGATTGCCAGGACTTTCTTCCCAGGTGCCTCTGGATAGACTTGATTCTCCACCTTTCCCTTAGCAGCTGAGACCATTAACTGTTTGCACTACCCAGGGATTCACTTATAGTATACATACTCTGCCTCTATTTGTAGAAAATGTTTTGTCATTTGCCAATTACGACTTAGGTTATAAATGTCAAAAGAAAACCTCCTTACTTCAAATATTACACATTTTCCAACTTTTCCATATTTTTCACATTCTTCCTTGGTTTCAACTTCCAAGTCTTCATCTACCTCTCCTGCACCAACCATGTTCTATAAACAAAGAAAAATAAATTCAACTATAATTTACAGATATATAACCAAACAACAACAACAAACCAAACCTGTTGCCACTGAGTTGACTCCGACTCACAGCGACCCTATAAGACAGAGTAGAACTGCCTCACATGGTTTTCAAGGAGCAGCTGGTGGATTCGAACTGCTGACCTTTTGGTTAGCAGCCGAGCTCTTAACCACTGGGCCACCAGGGCTCCAGATGTATAACAGCTGTATACAAATAAGATTTTCCTTCATTAGGGTAAATGATATTAATCCCAAATGACGTAATAAAAATTTTCATCCCATTAATATTAAAAAATTGATTTATTTCTTAAAACAAAACAAAAACATATTAAACTTTGTAAAATATTACAAAAATATGTATGTAAGCACCAAAAAATGCATAAACTAAGCTGAATGTGTAGCAATTACAAACATTTTAAAATAATTACTCACTGCACTCTTAAATACTGCATTTAGCAAAGAAACATACACAATAGTGAAAAAGGAATTTAAAATCAGTCTTACATGGGATCCATCCAAAGGTATTATCTGCAGAAGTATCATTTTCAGTTTTCTTTAACTTTTGTGATATCAGTGGGGGTGAAAGCATATGGGGTAGGGTAGGGTAGGTGATGCACAAAAAGCAAGGTAGGCAGACAGGTTTCTTTCTTTTTGCTTCTTACCCTTAGTAGGACCACTTTAGTAGGACACTTAAGTATTTCAGTTAATGGATTTGAATCAGATTTCTTGGATGCATCTGTATCAAAACATATAAGATGTGTTACAGCACTGAAGAGAAGCACTGGGTCCTAGTACAATGACTAATTTAATTTCAATAGCAATCTCTGCTATTTATGTCTTAGAATCATCTATAAGCATCAACGTAATCAGTCTTAGCAGAAATGCAGCCTTATCTACAATTAAAACATCAGCTTTACTCTGGTATATATTTTACAATATGTAATTTCTGGAAGTTTTTAGCTTCTGCAACAACCTGGAAACAGTTTTTGCTTATTTCAATTCCTAAAGGGCTAACAAAGCATACCGATCACAACCCTTGTAGGTGAGAGCCTTGGCTTTGGATAGAAGTATAGGTAACTATCCCAGTGTAATAAGCAGTTAAATTACATCAGCCATCGGCTAACTTATTTTAGTGTCACCAATCTCGATAACTGTTAGTTTTTGGTACCAACATGTAAGGCTGACTGTTGGCTCTCTAAAACTGTACATTGACAGGGTTGCCAGAAAAGTTTTCTTCTTTCTTTAGGAAAGGGAATTAAGCTAAGCTGACTAAAAATGAACTCAATTTTCCTGCTTAAAATGCTGAACTATTTTTTGTCTCATCCCAATATGCCCTTAGTACAGAACAGACTGTAATAACTGATGAACATAAAACACCAACTAACCAGATATCACCTACCAAAAGATTACAAAATAACATTAGATTCCACAAAGCAATAAATCCGTAAGAAAATTAGAAATCAACCTTTATGAAACGAAAGAAAAAAGGGAAAAAATAGGGAAGACATAAGATGGAGATATATCCGACATAATCACTGAAACACTGCATATGGCTCTGCCCTTTATGCTATAAAAACAACTATTATATTATCAATTTGACAAGATTCTATGCTCAACAGGTATGAAACTACTTTCCTGAGGACTGTTCATTTTCTGCCAGTCTCTCATCTTTTTTCCTCCCATGGGCCTTCATCCCTTTCTACTTCTGTTCTGAAAAAATAAAGATGAGCCTCAGGATTCCTGATTTCCACAAAACAGAACTGGAAGTGCATCAATATCAGAATTATCTATTCTACCAAAGACAGGGCAGTCCTCTCATGATGGACCATATTCATCCCTGTTCTCACTATGGAAATGCCTCTCTTGTGAGGAGACTTACCTTTCTCTGTAGCATCACCAACAATGATCTTGCCTCCTCGTTTGCTTGTTTTTTCTACTGACAATGCAGTGCTCAGCCCTTGTTCATGCTTTCCAAGACCCTGGCCTTCTCGGAAGCCATACTTCTGCATGATTTTATGTGCTACTGTGCCACTAGCAGGAGGAAAAAGAAAAAGATTCCTTGCACTTGCAATTAACTATAACATAAACTGGATTTTATACCACAAAATCTCCTTCTGCAAAGGTAGTATAAGTTCAATGAGGGCTTAGATGAACTTAAAGGTAATTAACAATGGGTCACTAGATGGACGCTGTGGGGATATTCAGGATGAAAGAAATATAAAAAGTTACTGACTGAAATCCTAAATATTCTGAAGCTATCTGTGAGGGGAAATACTAGTTTCCCTAACGAAACTTCCCCAGTTACTACTGTTAGAAAACACTAGATTTTCTGTGTGTGCCAGCATGTGCATTGCTGTATAGCTTGTAATCACGGTTTACTATTAAAAAGTGTGCTTGTCAAAAAATAAGCATGAAGTTTCATGTAACAAAATGCATCTTCAATATAGTACAGTAGAGTTTCCAATAACAGACTTTATAAATGAAAGAATCCTTAGAGACCATCTATTTAACAGATGAGAAAATAAACAGGTCCAGATTAGCTGACTAGCTTAAAGCTGACTGGAAGCAAAGCAAGATATCCCTGATTCTTAGTCCACAACTCTTTCTCTAACACCGTCACAGCTTTCAAACTGCACTCCTGGGTCTCAAAGGTGCCCCACAGCAACTACTGCTGCTTTAGACTTGAACCTCCAAACCCTGCTTCAGCTAGAGCAGCTGTAACCTAAAGTACTTCACATATTTAGTTCTCCTAAAATTTCATCAGAACAAGCTGTTCTAGGGCTGAAAAGACTGAAAAATGCTGAACGGTGCCACACTGCATCCTTTCTTAAGCAGAAGTTAGATTGAGTTCCTACTGAAAAGAAGATTCAGCAAAAAAGTCAATTTTATCCTTAGCGGGATAAATCATATAGTTTCTTATCTACCACCCTCCAGCACACATTCTGTTGTTGTTGTTGTTAGGTGCCGTCGAGTTGGTTCCAACTCATAGCGACCCTATGCACCACAGAGTGAAACACTGCCTGGTCCTGCGCCATGCTCACCATCGTTGTTACGCTTGAGGCCATTGTTGTAGCCACTGTGTCAATCCATCTTGCTGAGGGTCTTCTTCTTTTTCACTGGCCCTCTACTTTACCAAGCATGATGTCCTCCTCCAGGGACTGATCCCTCCTGATAACATGCCCAAAGTATGTAAGACCTAGTCTTGCCATCCTTGCTTCTAAGAAGCATTCTTGCTGTACTTCTTCCAAAACAGATTTGTTCTTTTGGCACTCTATGGTATATTCAATATTCTCTGCCAACACCATAATTCAAAGGCTTCAATTCTTCTTCAGTCTTCCTTATTCATTGTTCAGCTTTCGCATGCATATATGACTGAAAATACCATGGCTTGAGTCAAGCACACCTTAGTCTTCAAGGTGACATCAATGATTTCAACACTTTAAAGAGGTCTTTTGCAGCAGATTTGCCCAATGCAATGCGTCTTTTGATTTCCTGACTGCTGCTTCCATGGGTGTTGATTGTGGATCCAGATAAAATGAAATCCTTGACAACTTCAATCTTTTCTCCATTTACCATGATGTTGCCTATTGGTCTAGTTGTGAGGATTTTTGTTTTCTTTATATTGAGGTGTAATCCATACTGAAGGCTGTGGTGTTTGATATTCATTGTAAGTGCTTAAAGTCCTCTTCACTTTCAGCAAGCAAGGTTGTGTCATCTGTATAATGCAGGTTGTTAATGAGCCTTCCTTCAATCCTGATGCCCCGTTTTTCATATAGTCCAGCTTCTTGGATTATTTGCTCAGCATACAGAGGTTGAATAATTACAGTGAAATGATGCAACCCTGACGCACAACTTTCCTGACTTTAAACCACGTGGTATCCCCTTGTTCTGTCTGAACAACTGCCTCTTGATCTGTGCACAGGTTCCTCATAAGCACAATTAAGTGTTCTGGAATTCCCATTCTTCGCAATGTTATCCATAATTTGTTATGATCCACACAGCTGAATGCCTTTGCACAGTCAATAAAACACAGATAAACATCTTACTGGTATTCTCTGCTTTCGGCCAGGATCCATCTGACATCAGCAATGATATCCCTGGTTCCACGTCCTCTTCTGAATCTGGCCTGAATTTCTGGTAGTTCCCTGTCGACACACTGCTGCAGCTGCTTTTAAATGATCTTCAGCAAAATTTTACTTGGTATGATATTAATGACATTGTTCGATAATTCTCACATTCAGTTGGATCACCTTTCTTTGAAATAGGCATACAACGATCCTCCTTCATTTCCAATTCTCGCATTTCAATCACCAGTAATTATCAACGCATCCTGCAATTTCAGACTGCAGACGCTGGTAAAAATCTTCAATTTCTTCATCTTTGGCCGCAGTGGTTGGTGTGTAAATTTGAATAATAGTCGTATTAACTGGTCTTCCTTGTAGGCGTATGGATATTATCCTATCACTGGCAGCACTGTACTTCAGGACAGATCTTGAAACGTTCTGTTCGATGATGAATGCAACGCCAATCCTCTTCAAGTTGTCATTCTCGGAATAGCGGACCATATGGTTGTCTGATTCAAAATGGCCAATACTAGTCCGTTTCAGCTCACTAATGCCTAGGATATCGATCTTCACGTGTTCTATTTCATTTTTGATGATTTCTAATTTTCCCAGATTCAGACTTCGTATATTTCACGTTCTGATTATTAATGGATGTTTGCAGCTGTTTTCGTCTCATTTTGAGTTGTGCCACATCAGCAAATGAAGGTCCCGAAAGCTTGACTCCATCCATGTCATTAAGGTTGACTCTACTTTGAGGAGACAGCTCTTCCCCAGTCATCTTTTGAGTGCCTTCCAACCTGGGGGACTCGTCTTCTGGTACTATATCAGACAATGTTTCGATGCTATTCATAAGGTTTTCACTGGCTAATTCTTTTCAGAAGTAGACTGCTGCATCCTTCTTCCTACTCTGCCTTAGTCTGGAAGCTCAGCTGAAACCTGTCCACCACGGGTGACCCTGCTGGTATCTGAATACCAGTGGCATAGCTTCCAGCATCACAGCAACACACAAGACCCCACAGTACGACAAGCTGACAGATACGTGAGGGGGGCACATATTCTAGGGCATTAATTTAAATAATTAATTAGTTTAAGTAACTACCTTGTCTAGTGGCTACCATATTAAACAGCACAGTTCTAGGGGATGGATACCAAAAAGTCAGAAACTCAAAATCCTCCTCAAGTGTGAGAACCACAAACATCAACTCCAACTCCTAGTAGTCATCTCTCTATGGGTTCTAAGAACCAAAGGATATACAAATAGCTTAGAGTGGATCTACTACGCTCAATGGTCTCACAGCATTTTTATTACGGGCAGCACTCTCCTAAAAAACAGAAAGACATTAGCATTATGCTGCTTCATCTGACAGTGCCCTTGTAGCATCAGAGGAAGAGGACAAGTCACGTAAAACATTCTTTTAGCCAAAAATACATGCCAAATTCAGTGGGGGTTAAAAAAGAAAATCCACAAGCCCTACATGAATGTCAGCCTTAAAATGATTTTTCATATGCAGGCAAGCAAATTCCTAATCATATTTAAAATGAATAAAGAATTTTTAATTAATTAAAAACATTTATATCATTCATAGCTAATGCATATCAGCCATTTTACTTGCTAATGTTACAAAAATGTAAATAATTATTACAAACTGTTCCTATCTAGAGAATATAATGCTCGACATCTAAATCATTCAAAACACATACGAGAACGGCTTATGTTTTGTATAAAAACATAACATCATTATACTGGAATATGCTCCACATGACTCAAGTACTGATCTCGAGAACAGTGCATAGTTGAAAACATCAAGTATCTCCCTATAGACCTAAGAATGTCCGCATTTTCTAACAAAGACTACAGCTACCAAAATGGCTTTAGAAAGAGCTATTGACACTTAACAACACGGTTTCTCAAGTCCTTTTTACATTTTCTTAGATATGAACACTTAAAATCATTACCCCATGTTAGCAAGGAAGGAGTTACTAGGCCCAGTTGGAGATCTCGGCCTATCTTGTTCATCATACACTGGGGGAGGAATAGCAGCTTTGGAAGACTGTGATCGAGGTCGCGAATCCTCTTCATAGGGAAAATCTCGGGGTACTGTTGGATAAAAATAAAACAGGCTTACCAAAATAATACAAAAAATATTTTGATTTGCATTCATACGGGTCACTTACTTTGAACTACTTTCACTTGCATTTTTGCTTTACCACAGTGAGAAAAAAAGCAAATCAATTTTAAAGCCTCTATGAATTTTTTTTTAAAACTTGAGGTAGAACACTACTTTTCTCATTCTAACTTTGCTTGTATTCTTCCCATCTCCTCAAATGTCCTTTTTACATCTTACTAAAATGTTATTCAGTCTTTTTCTGTATGTTCCAAGTGGACACTAGCTCTCTTTCAACTCCCATAGACAACATGTTGTGTACACTTCTCTTAAGACTCTTGCCTTACTATCTCATCAGCCTAACAGACTGTAAAAGTCTTCAAGGTGAGGGACCATATACTAACTACAACAGTGGTTTTGAACCCTAGCTATACATCAGAATCACAAAGAAAGCCTGAATTCCACTCCAGTCCAACTGGTGTGGACTGGAGCCCAGGTCAGGCAACAACATTATTTATAGATGTTTTTACACAATATTGTGTTTAACAGATATTTTTAAAAACTGTAACTTTCTTGGAAAAAAGGTAACACAAATAGTTTCTTGGGATAGTTTAGGTATGGTCAAACCCAAAGCATAGGGAAATGATCTGGAAAACATAGCAAAGTTCAGTTTCAACCCAAATATTCTAGATCAACAGGAGAAGAAATAGTGGAGGGCATGTTTCCTCAATGTGCTCCAATGGGTACCCAAGTGCACTGAAATATAAATAACGGAAAAAATTTAATAAGGGAAAGCACTGCCACCTTGTGGAAGGTCATGAATATAACAGCCTCTAAACCACTGAGTGGAGTCCTGGTGGCACAGCGGTTATAAGAGCTCGGCTGCTAACCAAAAGTTCGGCAGTTCTAACCCACCAGCTGCTCCTTAGAAACTTTACGGGGCAGTTCTACTTTGTCCTATAGGGTCACTATGAGTTGGAATCAACTCGACAACAACGGGTTTGGTATTTTTTTGGTTTCAAACCACTGAGTAAAAAAATTCTAAAACTCATTGCCATTGAGTTGATTCGACTTATGGTGACCCCATGTGTTACAGAGTAGAACTGCTCCATAGGGTTTTCTTGGCTGGTACAGGACCAAGCAGTGTTTCGTTCTGTTGTACACAGGGTTGCTATGAGTCAGAATCGACTCAACGGCACCTAGCAACAACAACAATCTTGATGGAAGCAGATCCCCAGGCCTTTCTTTAGCAGCATCACTGGGTGAGTTCAAACTGCCAATCTTTAAGGTTAATAGTCTAACTCCAACTGTCTGCACTACCCAGGGACCTTAAACTGATATACTATTTGTTTAACTTGACTCCAAATGAACCTAAACCTCAAACATGAAATGTTGGAGAAAACAAATGAATTGCTTAAAAAAAAAAAAAAAACAGAACAAAACAGATCTCACTGTATAAAAACCCGTCTTAGAGCCTAGCATAAAAAACTGTCATCTAAAATGGTGAAAGGAATAGCAAACTTGCTAATCCATGGCCTTAGGGGTAAGAGCCAAAAGACTGGCTGTCAGGCCATTTCTTCTTAAACTCAGGAAACCTGGTTGACCCAAGGTAAGATTTTTCATAAATTGTTTCAGAATAAAAGAGAAGAAACAGATCTACATACGCTCTTTGTCCTTTTCTACAAGAGAAGTTGGTGGTGCAATAGCAGCTCCGCCCATACCTGCCAAACACATAAATTCCACTGATTAAAGGATGGAATCTGTTTCAGATGTCAGACTCTCAAGGACTGTGACATATACAATTCACTGTATCACCACTACTCACTCAAGAAAAAAGAAACAAGACTCGCTACTATATCCTTCCTGCTAACATTTAAAGAATTACCTGAGTCTATGATTAAAGATGTAGAAAACTGGCAATACCCACACGGACAAAAATTTTTTCTTAAAAGGCATGTTAAGAGCGGAGAACAGAGTTAATAAACAAATTTTAAGGCAAAGAACATAATCCAGAGAACCAGCAGTTAGTTAAAAATAATAACAAAACTATTTACTGAGAGCACATTATCCACCAGGTACTTTCATACACATTGTCTCATTTAGGTTTAATAAACCTTTGAAGTAGGCATTATAGGTTCCATTTTACAGATGAGAAAATGATCAGAGGAGAGGAGCACTAATTAGCAGAGATGGGAATAAAATCCAGATTCCTGTAATGCCATGCTTTTCCCCACTATATAGCACGCTTCTTTTCTGGGGTGCAAACCACTGGAGCTGACCATCTATTTGGAAATGTGGGTATTTCTGGTTCCTGAAGAATCTGCTACCGGCTGTCACTTCTCCTGCTCATGTTTCCTTGATGGAGAATAGTAAATACAAATGAACCAAAAAGGGTAAGAGAGGTCTCTTCCACTTGCTATCCAACAACCAGAGGGAAAGCCGAACAGTGGAGATCATAAAGACCATAGGAATTTTTCATTAGGTATAACACCTAACATATGCATCATGGCTAAACAATGAAAGAAATAATATAAAAAATAATGAAATGAGAGTTTTAAACAGTTTATTACAAAACCATACTGTTTCAGGATAAAATGTTTCACAGGTTACTCTAAAGCCAGTGTACATGCATCATGATTAATGGGACTGAACTATATAAAAGACTTAAGGAGAAATATTTTTGAAATACTTCCTAAGATCATTTTTTCTTAACCTTGTCTTTAAGATCCAGAGTGATCTGATTGATTCTGAAAAGTAGACTTGCATTAGTAAGTTCAGTATAAAAAATTCAGCATGACTACTAGAAATCTGCTACTAATCAAGTTAAAATATGATTATCAATCCACTAAGAGTAGTACAGAAACCCTGGTGGCATAGTGGTTAAGAGCTATGGCTAGTAACCAAAAAGGCTGGCAGTTCAAATCCACCAGTCGCTCCTTGGAAACCCTATGGGGCAGTTCTACTCTGTCCCATAGGGTCGCTGTGAGTTGGAATCGACTTGATGGCAATGGGTTTGGTTTTTGATTTTTTTTAATAGCAGTACACATAATGGGTATAGTGCCACTTCTTCCCTAATATTAGCTACAAGTTCAGTCAAATAGCAACAGTATTTTGATTAGAGGCTTTGTAATTCCTGTTAATGTTTAAGGAAAAAAACATGTTCTTAATATAGAGGCCCACCTCCTTACAAAATAAGGCAGCAGATCAGTAAACTGGAGAGATGAGACTGCAAATACTCAACCTATACACTGGATTCTAAAACAAGTTAATAAAAACCAATTACTTTTTATTAACTGAGATAATAAAATGCTTACCATGGACCTGTATTATATAAAGTACTCATCCCCTCTGTGCCTCAGATTCTTTACCCTTAAAAAAATCTCAGTTCACTGCTTACAAAAATGCAGCTGGACACAGAGAGGAGGTTAATGTGACTCTGCTTCAGGTAAAGAAAAGCGTGTGTGTCTATTTTAAGCTATTCTCAAGGTATCCCATAAGTAAATGTTAGAAAGGGGTTGTGAAGCTCAAAGGAGAACATATGTGAAAACACAAGGTAAACTAATTAAACTGCTATGCGAATGTGGATTGCTGAGATATTCAAATCAATGCCAACTGTACTATTCACCAAACCGAATATGAAAAACAGTGGAATTACTCCATGTCTAAATCAAGATTTGTGTTCACGCCTTACTTCTTTTCCTCCTCTCTCGCTCATAATCTTCATCTTCATCAGAATCTGGATCCGGTCGCCTTGAAAATCCACTAGCTTCATGTCTGTCTTTACGCCTCCTGTGATAAAGAAATCAGTGTTCATCAGAGATGAACCAATTTAGAGAAGTGAAGCTGAGGACTTTACCTTAATTTTCTCTTGGCTAGAAAATACTTAAATTCTCTCTTTCAGACAAAGAGCCCTGGGTGCCACAACAGGTAAGTACTCGGCTGCTAACTGAATGGTCGGTGGTTTGAACCCACCCAGTGGTTCCTTGGGAGAAAAATCTGGTGATCTGCTCCCATAAAGATTACAGTTTAGAAACCCTACGGGGCAGTTATTGTTTGTCGCATGGAGTCACTATGAGTTAAAATTGACTCTATGGCACCGAACAACAACTCTTTCAGACTAAACTATTAATTTGGGGTTGAGGGAGAGATAACCAGTTAAAGTATGAAAAGTGAGACAACCAGTTAAAGGTTAAAGTATGAAAAGTGAGAAAAATATGGAAGATAAATTGAATAAATAGGTAAATGAGTATAACTAGCAAGAAAAATGTTTCCTTGACATTTACCTCTTTTAATTTTAAAGTAAATCAAGGTAATAGGTTAATAGTCTCAACTCTCTAGAACATGCTTCACTCATGAAATGATTCAATAAATAATAGAAACACTGTATTAATATTTAATACATATTAACTAATAATTAATGTCAAATGTTTTTAAAAGAAATACAAACTATCCATACTTTTCATAAATGTAAATAAAAAGATGCCTAAAGTTTTAAATAATTCCATCTGCCTCAAAAATAGTAAAGTTAAGAACATGATTTTAAGTATTTTAAATAGTTGTGATTCTAGTAGAGTTACAGTGTAGGGAAAAAAAGAAACAACTATTATTCAACATCAGGTTTCTAAATTATTTTTCTAGAACTCACCCAGAATTTATAGCTTAGGTATTCTGAGTCTATACATGAAATTTGCTCTGGAGTTTGTTTTCATGCTAGGCTATAACAACTAAAAATTCTTAAAAATAATCTGATTCCTTCTGTTGATTGCTCAGACCAATCATGAAAACTAACTTTGGATAAAAATCCATGTTTGGGTCAAGACTGTTAGAATGAAGCACGATCCAAATATCAAGCCAGTAGCTCTCTGCCCTTCTTCTACCCCAACACCTGCTGGATATGTCACAGGAACGCTGGCTCATTCTAGAAGTAATTCCTAGGACTGTGGTTGTAGGTACTTCACATATGTTTGTGCAATACACAAGTACTCAGAACCCCAGATACATATGTCAGTATCAAGACCAAGAATCTTATTTGAAAAAGTTTAAGCAGTATCAGCTCAACATAGATAAGCAGAAAACAAGTACAGTATCCACCACAGATAAACAAGCATATTTATAACTGACGACGAATTACACGGATTCAAACCAAAAACTCACTATCATTGAGTCGATTCAGCATCACAGCAATCCTACAGGACAAAGAAGAACTGCCCCCATAGGGTTTCCAAGGCTATAAATCTTTACAGAAGCAGACTGCCACATCCTTCTGCCGTGGAGTGGCTGGTAGGTTCGAACCACTGGCCTTTTGGTTAGCACTGACAGCTTTAACCACTGCACCACCAGGGCTCCACGGAATAGTAAAGGGTGTATTATTTATTTCAAGTTACCACAAATCAAGAGGTTTTTAGGTTAAATGATGATTTTATTTTTAAAAATGAAAGCACTACTCTATGTCCATAAGCCCCTGATTTTTTTGCCATATGCTATGATAGAGTCTCAAGTGTGGGAAAGATGGATGAAACATATGAAGCCAAGTGAACAAAGAACTCCAGAATACAACACTGTGATAACGACATAAAAACATTTCAAAGACAATCCTTTGTCTTAACTGACATATTTCTTTTACTTTCTTGGTATCTGTATAGTATTTCAGTATTTGTTAAACTTTGCCTTACAGACAGCACTAAAGTTCATTCATTACTACTCTAATGAATATTTCAAAGGCAAAATATCCCCAAGTCCAAATATCTTACTTTTCTCTTTCTTCTATTTCTTTTTGTCTTTCCAGCTCCCGCTGTCTTTGTCGTTCCTCTCTTTGGCGCTTTACTACTTTCTCATAATCATTAGGAAACATAGGATCATATTCATCAGCCAAGGGAATCAAAACTTCTCCTGCAGAAAATCCACTGGGAACAGGATCCTGAGAAAGAAAAAAATGTCAAAGTAAATACCATCATCATATCTTAGAATTTCGTTCATAGAATTAAGATCAAAGAATATGATGGTTAGATGGGGCCTTGAAAATCATCTATCCACCTCTTTTGGGTTATAGATAAAGAAAGAAATGCCAAAGGAGGTTCAGTGACTCGACATAGTCACACACCCAGCAGGTAACAAGAGAACCATGACAAAGAATCCCACCTCTCTTGGTTTAACACTATTTCCGTAATACCCTATGGCATTTTCCTGGAATTGCCAATAGCCACAACCACCTAAATTTAAGACACTAACACTGTTAAGCAATATATTTGATTATTTATAGTAAAGCACTAAATACTTATTTTTATATATCTCTGAAAATTTAAAAACCAAAACAAGCCATGAATAACACAACCATTCTTGTAGTCACCATTAAATGGATTTACTTTAGATTTTGGTTATATGGAGATAATAATATAGTAAAGGATTTTCAAAAACATCCTCTTGGTCTTTTTAAATTACTAAGATTAGTAGGCTTATACAGGAAAAGTTGTTTCAGATTTTGAAATGATGATTTAATCTTCATATTGACAATTTGTTCTTTCTGTTGCACACTTTGTGATAATAATATTACATAAATTGACTGGATGATTGTTAGTTTCTCACCAGTCTTAATAATAAGTGAAAAGAAGCCTTGTTACGTGCCTTTCTGTTTTTAAAATGTCTTTTACATGAGTACAAATTTATAACTACCTTTGGGAGTCCTTGGTTAGATAGGGTTGTCTAAATTTTCCAGTGACAGAGCCTGGGAGGTGATTGCAGTTATTTTTCTAATTGCCTTTGTTTATTGGATCATAAGGTTTCACATATCCCTTGCAAGGAAGGCTGTATCTCCAGCACTGAGTCTGGCACAAGTAGAGAGAATTCCCTCCACATCATCATTAATTTTTAAAGGTCTACTAACATCAGGTTCAGATGACAACGTTTTGCATTTTTCTCTTCTATATGTTTAGATACCGGGGTTACTCTTTAAGAGAAAAGAAGTCCTTAACAAAGAATCTACAAAAACAAAATGGAGAGAGAGTACAGCTGACTAGAAAATATGTGATTAGAAATGGGGCTTTACCCTAGATTGGCAGCCTTGATCTAAATACAGTTTTGGTAAGCCCTGATCCAATACTTGATCTAACATTCCTAAACCACCGTGTTTTTCTGTTTGTTCTCTTAGTGTAACTTTTCCTTATCATCTGTAAAAATAAGATGACTTAATTGGTCTACACAGATACCTGAACAAGTACGGGTTAGGATTTAGTGTCGAGTCTCCAGTCTATACCACTTTCAGGAGGTACACTGCCAAACAGTACTAAAGGCAAGAAAGTTGTTCGTAAAACGTGTTTTGTATGTGAACATATAACTGATATGATAAAGACAGCTTATGTTCAATAACAACGGATCTAAATCTAACAATTTTTGCATTACACTGCTCAGTTTGACATTAGGTATTATAAAACAAACTCATTTCCTTATGACTAAAAGCCAGGAAACCTTATGATCCAATGGATAAAGGCAATTAGAAAAATAACTATAATCACCTCCCAGGCTCTGTCACTGGAAAATTTAGACACACCTATCTAACCAAGGACTCCCAAAGGGTAGTTATAAATTTGTACTCATGTAAAAGACATTTTAAAAACAGAAAGGCACGTAACAAGGCTTCTTTACACTTATTAAGACTGGTGAGAAACTAACAATCATCCAATTAATTTATATAATACTATTATCACAAAGCGTGCAACAGAAGGAACAAATTGTCAATATGAAGATTAAGTCATCATTTCAACATCTGAAACAACTTTTACTGTATAAACCTGCTAATCTTAGTAATAAACCATGCTTTTCTAAAAGCTGTTAAGAACAAAGCAGTTTGAGTTAAAAAAAATTTAAATACTGAGGAAGATGAGATAAAACTAAAACAGTCATATATTATAGGTCATATCTGCATACTGATACTACTCTGCTGGAAACGAGTTGGTACTAAAACAAGTTGGCCATAAAAATGATCTCTTAATGCCACCTCAGGAAATCCATCCTAAGGAGCTAATGTATAAAAAGCTCTCTGTAGAGATGTTCTTTAGAATGTTAGAATGTTACTGATAATGACAATGTAAAAGCTGATCTGGATGGTTCTACACTTAGGGAATGCTTAAGTTATGACACATTCACTTGATGGGAATATTCTGAAATTAAAAAATTACGTATGCAAAGTATGTAACTGCAGTGCAATGGATCGCTTTTTTGTGGCCTTTCTTGCCATGGTCTTGTGACTCCCACCCAGGTGACTGGGAGGGACTGTTCAGACAGGGTAATCATAGCCCACCAAAGGGATTGGTCAGTTTTTACCATCCGCCTGGGTTTGAGGTGAGCCATCCCAGAGGCAGGAAAGAGAGGTTCCCACCACTACCAATGAATAACAGGAGCGGAGAGCCCGTCCTTTGGACACAGGATCCCTGTGCTGAGAAGTTCCTGGAACCAGGAGACTGAGAGAGCGGCAGGAGATCACAGAGGGCTTCCCGGTCCATGAAGCGAGAAAGGTGAGTGCCTCCAGTGCCTCTGGGGACTTACTGGCAGGGGCTAAAGAGCTTTGTTAACACTTGCCTGAGCAGGGCACAGACCGAGGGCCAGGGAGAGGTGTGCCCGTGAGCACAGCTGAAAAGACACTGTTGTGATGGAAGAACTGTATCCTGAGTATTCCTGAGCCTGAACTGTAACCTGTTATTTCCCTAATAAATCCCATAATCATGAGTACTGTCTATGAGTTCTGTGTGGCCGTTGCAATGAATTATTGAAACTAGCAGAGAAGCAGCATGCCACAGGAGGGACGGCTGGTGTCAGAATTGGCAAAGATGGTGGAAAGAAGAGGCATATCTGACCTCCACCTCACAAGAATCGGCCTTGGGCTGTTGATTTTGATTCTCCTTCTCCCTTGTGAAATGAGAGATCAGACATTTTCCCCATGCTGCTTTTACAGTACCAAGAAGGAAAAGTGCTTATCAATTAAATAGGGAGAAAAAACAACAATATTTTAGGTACTAGAGTCAATTCATAATTACAGAAGATGATTAACCAGCTTTTGATTAATGTAGTGAGAAAAAATTAGGCTTAGAATTTGAGAGGAAAATTTTTAAATGACTAGAGATCAGCAAAAAAACACCTGACTGGGGGGTGTCTTTTCCTCTTGACAGACTATTAGCCTGCAGGAGCATCACTAAGAACAGGCGAACTAAGCTGTGGCCTGCCTCATAACGAAGGCAAGGTAGAGAGCAAGCTGATTCCAACCCATAAGAGACAAAGCTGAGAGGACAGAGAAACAAAAAGAAGGGAGGGGCATACAGATGGGACCGTGTCTCAGCCTGATTATGGTCCTTTCTAACAGATGGGGGAGGAGAGGAGTACCTTGCTTAGAAAATACAGTAAAACCTGCAAAAGCCAGAACCTATGTAAGGCAGAAACCTGCCATCAAGGGAAAACACTAATATTTTCCACTAACAGAGAGTTACACAAGAGTGGTAAGACCGTACCCTACCAAAGGCAGAAAGTTTGTGAGACCCAGAAAAACAAGGCAGTCCCATCAACTTCCAGCTCTCGCAGGTTTCACTGTATCTCATTTTGCCTAGTTTTAACCATGATTTTGACTGTTTTCCAGAATCTCCTCATCCTCATTAACCCCAGTTTATAAAGAGTTAGCCATGTGCGTTTGTTTTTTAAGCATACCTAAAATCATTATAATAAAGGTTTATTGCTGTTAGTTACCACCAAGTTGACTCTGACTCACGACAGCCCTATGTACAACAGAACAAAAGGTTACCTGGTCCTGCACCACTGTCATGATCATTGGTAATCAAACAATGTTCTATTGTGATCCATAGGGTTTTCACTGGCTAATTTTTGAAAGTAGATTGCAGACCTTTTTTCCTAGTCTGTCTTAGTCTGGAGGCTCTGCTGAAACCTACCATGGATGACCTGCTGGTATTTGAAATACAAGTGGCTTAGCTTCCAGGATCATAGCAATGCACAAGGCACCACAGTATGACAAACTACAGATGGGTGGTAATAAAGGTTAGGGTGGTAGATTTTTTTTTTTTACCCCTTTCTCTATTTTAATCAATAATAAAACAATAAGTACTAACATTGCTTATGATAGCAAAAATTGGAAACCACCCATACATCCAAATAAATATAGTACATCCATACAACGGAATTAAATGAAGCCATTAAAAATGATCACACAGCACTATATTTTTTTTACATAGACAGTCACAATATATTAAGTGAGAAAAACCAGACAGAGAATAGAAGGTAGAGTAGGCATAGACTGGAAAGATCCCAAAATACAAAGTTTTTAATTTCTGGAGGGTAAGACTGAAGGTCATTTGTTTTTGTTTTTGTGTATCTCCAGTTCCTGGTTTTTTTTGTTTAATGAGCTTATTTTATTTTAAATAGGTGTTTTAAAATTTATAAAAGTAAAAATTACATTGAAAATGATACTGACCAGATTTCAAAGAGACTAAGAGGGCAAGACTACATATGCATAAAATAAAAATTATGCAAAGTGGAGGAAAGTAACAAGGTAAAGTTAGGGGTACACTGTTGTTTCACGTTATATGGGCTTACCTTTAGCCCAGCTGCTACATGAGGTGGTGTGTCCACAATTTGCCGGTCATCTGAAGAGCCGCCTCGTTTTAGGTCAATTACTGGGGCAAGGACTGTACTTTGTTTTGTCCTTTGGCTCTAAAATTAAAAAAAACACAAGAAAAATGTACTGAAGCTTCAAATTAAAACTCAAATTCAAACTATTTGTAACAACGATTATTTTGGTCTCTGAAACAAACCTTTAAGGCTTGAGAAAATCATAATCTTAAAACAGCTTTTAAATATAACTGTTAGTATAAGTATATAGTATTTTCTTTAGACTTTTAAAACACAGACTTCCTCCATTTTTGTAAAAGGTTTACAGTAAAATTGGTTACTTTTGTTTAAATTTGTATACAATGGATTTTGACCAGTCATGAAAATCTATAGCACATTATACTTTGCGTGGCTTGCTCACAATGAATAGGTATAGTTTTACATCCTGCACAAAAGATACATGTGGATTAGAGGCTTTTTTTCTCCTACCAGATATAAAACCCAGCCACCTTCCCCCATTTTATTACGAACCTATAGAAAATAATTTTAAAGAGAAAAATGATCATTCATTTACATACCATTTAGCCATTAACATTCTACCATATTTGCTTTATCCTACAAATATGTATTTTTGGTGAACCATCTGAAAAAAAGCCGGTGATATCATGACACTTCACCCTTAAATACTTCAGCACATATCTCCTAAAAACTATGGACACTCCCCTACATAACCATAATATTATTATCATGCCTAATAAAACCAACAATTCCCCCGTATCATCTCCTATCCATCTCATATTCAGATTTTCCATGCTGTCCTCTAAAATGTTTTTAAAATAGTAAAAAAAATTGTTTTTGAACCAGGATCCTACCAAAGTTTCCATATTGCATTTGGTTTTTAAATCTCTTTAGTCTCTCGATTTAGAACAGTTCCTCTTCCTGACCGAGCCATCATCACCACCATCATCGTCACTTGATCTCCTTCTCCTTTCTCTTCCTCTGACGTTGTTTTATAAAATGCTGCACATTCTAGATCTATCTCATTAATCCCTGGTGGTGTAGTTTCTCTATCCCTTGTAATGCCCGAAAAGTGGAAGTTAGGTGTAAAGGCTTCATCAGATTCAATGTGAAGCTTTTTTGCAAGAACATTTAATAGATGAGATGGTGTACTTCATTTTGTATCACAATAGGAGGCATATTAGGTTGTCTACTAGCAATGCCAAGTTTGACCACATGGTTACAGTGGTGATCACTAGATCTTTCCATTATAAAGGTATAATTTTTTTGGACTTTAAAAGGTTATAAATTTTGATTGTTATCATTACAAAAGGCTCAAGAATAGATCTTCATCTCTCTAACTATAACAATGTTTATAAATTTAAGCACACAAAATTTAATTCAAACATCAAATATATAATTCACAAAGTGAATACCAAGTTTAAAGGACAGGACTGGGAGTGGACTATCAAAACCACATATTTTTCTATTATTATTTTTTTGTAATCAATATGTATTTTTAAAATGGAGATACAGATAAAACCGCAGCTTCACCTTTCAATTATAGGTAGAATTTTTTTCTACCAAATACTTTACAGATTTGGTTAGGCCAACCTATTACTCTGAGTAACTGATTAACTAGTTAATTCATTAATTTAATTAAAGGCCCAACAGAATCAATGCATCTTCACTTTCCTCACAAAAAAACAATATTAACCTTACATAGCATTCTCAAAAAAATGTTAAAAAATTATCAGAAGCGATTTCATGGGTAACTTTTTATTTTGACCAATTTAAAATATCAGTTTGAATCTCAAGGAATTTGCTAATAATTGAAATTAATGTTTTTGGATAGGTAAAAAGATAAGCATAAATTAAGGCTGACATTGAAGAAGATATCTAAAAGACTAGGTTTCATACAAAAACATAATTCCTTGCCTGTTAGCAACTAACTCTTTACTTTTAATGTAATAGTACAATCCATATATGATCCATAAATTATTTACATTCAGCTTTCTAATACATTTATATTTTAGAAGGATTTATCTTCTCACTTGTATTTCATATAAGCTGGTTTTAAACCTATAGTTTCTAAATAAACACCGACTGATAGAGAAAGTGGTTCAGGGGTACACTAGGCAGGAACGAACAAATTATCTAAGATTTTTTAAAAATTAGCTACAAGTAAGCCACAAAGCTGACAATTTTTAAACTGGAAATTAAGAATTATCCCACATAGTTTTTAATGACTTCTGCTTTTCTATTTTGTTATCTTTCACTGGACAATGACTGTCCACTAATTATGTCTATTCAAAAGACCAAGTGAGTTTATGTTAGTAAGCATTATCACTGCCCCCAGGATCCAGTCATTTAACAAAATAAAAGATTAGGCCTTCACAAATAAAATACATGATACGGTATTGGCATTGCAATATAAAACTTTTTTATGCAACTTAAGTACACAGCAAAAGTTACACAAAATCTGCAAAGATTAAAAAAATTGAAAAGGATGTAAAATAATTAAATAAAAATTTTAAAAAACCAAAACGAACAAGAAAAACAAGCCTTGTTTTGCTAATCTTCCTTTCATTTGGGATAAAACTTTGTTTTAAAAAGATATAATTCTGTCTCTTTAAAAAAGAAATCCTAATATCAAAAAAAAAAATTTACATCTGGTAATGATGTGTTAAAAAAGAAAACAGAAACAAAACAAAAAAACCCTAATCAACAGAATTGACAAAACAAATACAAATTTCAGACAGTGTTGTTTTACTTTGGGGAATCCTAATCCTAAAAAAACTTCTACAATACTGAACTACTGGAACAAGAAAAAATAATGATGTAGTAAAGGAAAAAAAAAATTAGAATGTAAAAAATTTATTATGGAAACTTTCAAACATAAAGAAAATTAAAGAGAATAATTTGATGAATTCTGAAGTATCTCTCACCCAGCTTCAACAATTATTAATTCATTGTCAATTCTGTTTCATCTACATCTCCACCTCCCACCCTGGACTGTGGGTGTAAACCTCAAATTAAATAATTTTATCAGTAAATATTTCAATGTGCATCTCTATAACAACTTTTCTCAACCTTCTTTCACTATACCTCCCCCACAAAGGAGACTTTTAACAAATGTCTCCTAACTACCCCACCTATGAAATTTTAACACCACAGATACACTGTAGATCTGTTCTTTATACATAAAAAGAGTAAGTTTTTTTTCACCCCTTAAGGAGGACTCTTCACCCCCTTTGGAGGGATATCACTTCTGTTAAGCATGCATGCTCTAAAACAAAAGGGCCCTTAAAACAACAAACCGTAACACCATTCTTAATTCTAAAAATATTTGATAATAATATTTTAATATCATTAAATACCCAGTCAACTAAGTTTTAATGTTCTACATGTTGAATTATTTCAAGTATATCGCCAGTGACCAACAAGTACACAATAAGGACAAAAGCAATTACTATCCAGACTACATGTGCCTGATATATTCACAATCGATCTGACCCTTCAACAACACATACACAGCCAGGAGTTTAGTTATTACTATAGAACTGCACTTCTCAAAGTGCTGCTTGCCAACCACCTCAACAAACCAACAGGAATGCTACTTAAACAATGCAGACTCCAGGGGCTTCAGCCCAGAACCAAACTGTACCAGAGTATCAGGAATATGGTTACACAGTCTGCATTTTAAACAAGTTCTCAGGCAATTTTCAGTATACTGAAGTCTGAAAATCAGTATCACTGCTAGAAGTTTCCTAGAAGATTTTGATTCCCAGTAGCTGGGAAGAGCAAATTGACCTTAAACTTTTCATTCCTCTCTACCCAAAGCCTCTCTCCCTATAAATGTTTAACCCTATACACCCAATAAAAAGGCAGAAGGGCAGGCTAAAATCAAATTACTTTTAGTCCTGACAAGAAACTCATACTGTAGACTTCTACTCTCACACTCTGGGTTTACCTTCGCTTGAGTGAGAGCTGCCTTCTTCACCTGAAGCTGGGACTGCAGAAGTTTGAAGTTTTTGGACCAGCCTTCTGTTTTTGAATCACTGGTCTCCACCCCCAGGTCATCATACAGGGACATCTTTTTTTCAGTTTAATGCTGAAATACAAAGGGAATGGGGATTAAAAATACAAAATACAGTAAAGACTTCAAACCTTTCCATGCTAAAATAACTTTGTATCATGGAATTTTAGAGGTAAAACGTATTATGAGAGATTCTAGTCCAGGCCCCTTCAGAAACAGAAGCCAAAACTCCTGATATCATCAGCGTAGTGCTTTTTCTAATACACGAAGCTATACCCATGGTTTGTTTTTTTTTTTTTAAATAAACCTCTAGAATTAATTTTTCTGTTCTTATAGATCACGTTGTCAAGTGATTCATGAGTGGAATCCTTCTGTTCTACAGCATACGATTAGGTAAGAAGAAAGTTCTAGATTCAGAGCATTATTAATCACATATACCCAAAATTTAAAAAATTCTACTTTGTCTCAATAGCAAAAAGTAGAAGGCTTACAAAATACCAGTTACCAGGTTGATATACTGCAATTAGCTACACTCTTATAAAAAGTTTAAATGTACACCTATGCCTAAGAAAAAAAATGACGAAATGATCTCACAAATGTTCTATCTTTGAAAACTATGATTATTGAGGGGGGGAAGAGGGGTGGCAGGTATTAAATATCCTGAATTCCTCATATCCCACCAAATGAAAATTTATAAACTTTAATGACATTGATAATAAAAAGATAATCAACAATCTACACGTAAATGATCAATATACATCCCCACAGAAGAGACAAATACATGACAACAAAAACAAAAACAATAATACTTAACTGGTATTATTATGCAGATGTGTTAAACGCAATGCCTGCAGTCAGCACCATTAAATCCCAAACTTTACAAATGAGGAAAATGGGGCTTAGATAGAGTAATTTGCCCAAGCTTATAGTAGGAAGCCCCTTTTCAAACCCTCAGGCTAATTCCTGAGCCCCTGCTAGTAAGTCCCGGTTGTTGTTAGGTGCCCTCGAGTCGCTTCGGACTCCTAGCGACTCTACATACAATAGAATGAAATGCTGTCTGGTCCTGCACCATCCTCCACCATCCTCACAATCGTTGTTATGCTTGAGCCCATTGTTGCAGCCACTGTGTCAATCCATCTCGTTGAGGGTCTTCCTCTCTTTCGCTGACCTACTTTACCAAGCATGCTGTCCTTTTCCAGGGACTGGTCTCTCCTGCTAACATGTCCAAAGTACATGAGATGAAGTCTTGCCATCCTTACTTCCAAGGAGCACTATGGCTGCATTTATTCCAAGACGGACTTGTTCGTTCTTCTGGTAGTCCATGGTTTACTCAATATTCTTCACCAACACCATAATTTAAAGGCATCAATTCTTCTTCAGTCTTCCTTAATCACTGTCCAGCTTTTGTACGTGTGTGATGCAATTGAAAATATCACAGCTTGAGTCAGGTGCAAGTCAGTCCTCAAAGTGACATCTTTGCTTCTTAACACTTTCAAGCGGTCTTTTGAAAGATTTGCCCAATGCAATACATCGTTTGACTTCCTGACTGCCGCTTTCATAGGCGTTGACTGTGGATCCAAGTAAAACGAAATCCTTAACAAGGTCAAACTTTTCACCATTTATCACGATAGTGATTACTGGTGCAGTTGTGAGGATTTTTGTTTCTTCTTTATGTTGAAGTGTAATCCATACTGAAGGGTGTAGTCTTTGATCTTCATCAGTGCTTCAAGCCCTCTTTGCTTTCAGCAAGCGAGGTTGTGTCATCTGCACGTTACAAGCTGCTAATGAGTCTTCCTCCAATCCTGGTGCCACATTCTTCTTCATATAGTCCAGTTTCTCAGATTATTTGCTCAGCATTCAGATTGAATATGTATGGTGAAAGGATACAATCCTGACACACACCTCTCCTGATTTTAAACCAAGCAGTATCCCCCTGTTCTGTTTAAACAACTGCCTCTTGGTCTACGCACAGGTTCTTCATGAGCACAATTAAGTGTTCTAGAATTCCCATTCTTCGCAATGTTATCCATAATTTGTTATGATCCACACAGTCAAATGGCCATCTTCTAAAAAGCTCAATGTTCTGAAACCCATGAACGTGACCCATTTCTCAAAATAAACTGTAAATAAATGCTTGGAACAGGTAGTTTCCAATGATGAAAACATTCCAAAAGTCTATCAGTTACCAGGTGCTCAGAAAGCATTTTCCCATAGATCTGTGTTCTGTCTTTCAGGAAAAGGTCATACAGAAAGCTAAGAGCTTGACAAGAAACCACAACTTAACTATATGGCTCCCTTCATCTCCTCCACAGGATTTATACCTAAGGCAAGCATCAATCTGAATCTGGTTCTCATCTCGTCCTTGCTTTCCTCCTTTTATACGGTTCTATTTAAATAGTTTTATTGTATCTATTTAAAAGTGTGTATTTTTTATTTTAGCTGTTTTAAGCATTTATGAATATACCACCATTTATTCATCCACTCTGCCAACGGCAACCACCGAAATTTAACAGATCTATTAACAAGACTCCACCGAGGTCCAAACTTATCCTAATTAACGCTGAGATATTACTTAGATGACGTAACATTTAAATTTCATAAGTCTGGCCCCAAGTAATAAGAAATAGCACTTTCAAACATTTGGATATACCATAAGAAGCCAGAATCAAATGTAAATACGAAGCAGTTTTTATAACTTACTTGAAATACTTCCTCACAATTTACTTTTTTACGGTAACCAAAACCAAACCAAACCTACTGCCATCCAGTCACTTCTGACTCACAGTTTATGGTAATACCATCCTTCACTTAACACATCTTTCATATGTGCTCCATTTTTAATAAGAAAACAAACATGATTCTGCCAGAAGGAAGAATGATGACTTTTCCAAATTCCACCTAAGCTGGCAAAGTATTTTTTAAAACATGAGCAAGTGGCAGAAAAGGAACATGGAAGAGAGAAATCTTCTCAGAAGCATCCCACCTACTCATCTTTCAAGTGCATCTTCGAAGTTTTTAGTGACTATGCCTAATTTGTACTCCTGAACATACCTGAGTCATAGCAACTTTTACATATTATACCCAGTGGTTTACAAATGTCTCCTAATATACTACAAGCCCCTTAAAAGTAGGGCCTGATTTTGTGTTCATCTTTGCATCTCTAGCTTAGCACCATGCTTGGAACATTTTAAGCACGTAATATTTTCAAACGTTTATCAGTAAACGGATGGAAAATGTTAATGCACTTATTTAAATCACATTACTATGAAACAGTAAGATCTGCAGATATACTTTTTTAAGGATATAACTTACAGTGAGTGGAATTCTACAAGTATGGTATATTTTCCACCACCCATCGGTCAGTTTGTTGTATTACGGTGGCTTGCATGTTGCTATGATGCTAGAAGCTATGTCACTGGCATTTCAAATACCAGCAGGGTCACCCATCGTGGACAGGTTTCAACAGAGCTTTTAGACTAAGACAAACCAGGAAGAAAGGCCTGCAATCTACTTCCAAAAATCAGCCAATAAAAACCTTATGGGCCATGAAAGAACACTGTCTGACTCGCTTGCTTTGGATATGTCATCAGGAAGGATCAGCTGCTGGAGAAGAACATCATGTTTGGTGAAGCACAGGGCCAGCAAAGGTGAGGGACACTTTCGGTGAGATGGACTAGCACAACAGCTGCAAGGATGAACATACTGGTGATCATGAGGATGACGCAGACCTGTGGAACATTTCGTTCTGTTGTATGTAAGGCTGCCATGAGCTGCAGTGGTCTCAATGGCAGCTATCTATGGTAAATTTTTAAACTGCATAACATAATTAATGGGAGGAAAAACTACCACCACCATACACCCAAAAATGAGTCAAGGTCTGAGTTTGAGCATCATAAAATCAGATCTCTGTATCACAGTAAGTGTAAAAGAGCTTTCTTTGTTTTTCTCTTTCTCACTGAACTTCAAGTTCACAGAACTGGATTAATCATAATAAAGTCACACTCTCATTATCCATGCATGCGTATGTGGCCTGCTTTTATTTATTATAATCCTACAAGAATCAGGCTTGGTAAGAAGAAACCTTTTATTACTAAACAGATACTCATTATCATAAAATGATAATGATAATGAAGCCTAAAGAATATGGCAAATATACAAAGGAAGAAGGGAAATACGAGGGGTGGTGCACTTTGACGTCTACCAAAAAACATAACTATAAAAGGCATACCTCAGATATAATATTTATAATGACTTTATAAAGGATTTTAAAAGAAATTTCCTACATCTCTGTCTTGGTTATCTAGTGCTGCTGTAACAGAAATACCACAAGCAGATGGCTTTAACAAAGAGAAATTTATTCTCTCACAGTCTAGTACGCTAGAGGTCCAAATTCAGGGTGTCAGCTACAGGGGAAGGCTTTTTCTTCTCTGTCAGCTCTGGTGGAAGGTCCTTGTCATCAATCTTCCCCTAGTCTAGGAGCTTTTCAGTGCAGGGGCCCCGGGTCCAAAGGATGCACACTCCTGCTCTTCTTTCTTGGTGGTATGAGGTCCCCCTGTCTCTGCTCACTTCTCTCTTATATATCCCAGAAGTGACTGGCTTAAGACACAATCTAATCTTGTAGACCTCATCAATGTAACTGCTGCTAATTCATCTCATTAACATCATAGTGACAGCATTTATGACACATAAGAAAATCCCATCAGATGACAAAATGGTGGGCAATCACATAATACTGGGAATCATGGTCCAGCCAAACTGATACACATACTTTTGGGGACACAATTCAATCCATGACATTCCACCTTTTGGCCCCCAAAAATTCATGCCCTTGCCACATGTAAAACACATTCACCCTATGATATCATAGCAAAAGTCTTAACTCCAACTCCAAAATTCAAAAATTCCTCTTCATCTGTGAAATCTAGAATACAAGTCGTCTGCTTCCAAAGTACAATGGTGGAACAGGCACAAGCTAAACATTTCCATTACAAAGGGGAGAAACTGGAGGGAAAGGCGTAACAGGCACCAACCGAGTCAGCAGAACACATTACATTAACCCTCAAGGCTTGAAAATAATCCTCTGTTCTCTGAGACTATTTACACAATGGCCCTGCCCTCCAGCCTCTAGGTATCAGCCATACTCTCAGGATGCTGAGTGGAGGCCCCTTGGCCCTGGGCTTCAGCTCCACTTTCCAGGCCCACTGGAAAGGCAACTCTGCTCCCTTGGCTTTAGGTGCACCATTCTCCTAGTCCATCTGAGTGGCAACTCCACTCTTAAAAATCCAGAGGCTATGGCTCCACCCTTTGAGACCCCAGAGGTCGTGGCTATACCCTTTGAGATTGAGGAAACTCTGCTTCTTGTGTTCTTCGTCTCTTCAGCTTCTGCTTCCTGGTTCCTTGGCCTCTTGGCCTTTCAGACCTCACCACCCACGTCTGCCCTGCTGGGGCAGTGTTCCAAAACTCTGCAGCTCCACCGATAAGTCCCTGGAGGCACCCCACTCCACCAGTAAACTTCCACTGGAAGGCACTCAGCTCTCTTGCTCCATAGGTTAGCAAGCCCAACTCCACCAGTAAGTGCTCAGAGGCATCCTACTGTGCCAGGAAGCCTCCTGTGCAAAGGCACTCAGCTCTCTTGCTCTGTGGGTTGGCTCCAGCACCATGTGGTGCTGGTCTCCTGGTTCTACTGCTGCCCGTCCTCTGCTGCTGCCAGTCCTCTGCTGTCTGTACTGTCTCCAACGTAACAGCTCTCCTCATTTCCTTCTGAGTCCTCTATCCATTTAGAGTTCCAAAACTGCTTCCACATTTTAAGTACCTGTTAGAGCAGCACCCCACTCTCGGTACCAAATTCAGTCTTAGTTATCTAGCACTGCTATTACAGAAATACCACAAGTAGATGGTTTTAACAAAGAGAAATTTATTCTCTCACGGTCTAGTAGGTTACAAGTCCCAATGCAAGGTGTCAACTCCAGGGGAAGGCTTTCTCTTCTCTGTCAGCTCTGGTGGAAGGTCCTTGCCATCAATCTTCCCCTCGTCTAGGAATTTTTCAGCATAGGGACACCCTTGTCACAGTTTAACATTTCCATTCATTCTCATAGACTCGATTATCACAACACCATATGCTGGACTGTGTTACAAAGTCCACTGGAATTTAGGTACGAAACAGAACATTCTTCACAATTTACTACCATGAAAGGCTTGAGGGATTACTAGCTCTGGATCACCTGTTGCCTGCCAGAGGCGGTCTGAAGAATTCACATGCAGGGAAAACTAGGAAAGTAATTTAAAACAAGCCAGCTAAAAAGAAATACACTTAACAAAGTTACATCTGGGAGTATGTAACAATTCTCTCAAAATTCTTTATTTTTCCATAAAGGCTATCTTTAGTAACCACTGAACTCCACAATCAGAATAACTCTTCACTGTTAACACTTCCACCTTGTTATATTTTTGTCTGTTGCACAAGCTACTCTTTCTGAACTGTTCAGCATGTTGCACAGTTACTGCTTAATAAACTCTAACAATAAAACAGTCTCAGTTTAAGTTACTAATTGCCCTATATCCCCTAAAAATCCTTATTATTACTCAAAATGCCTGCAGCCTTTATCCAGTAAAAAATGTAAAAACTGAGTTACATCCTTTAAAATCTCCACCTATTGCGGGGAGTCACAAAAGTCCTCACTCATCCACCCATCTATTTGAGTACGTGCAGAATCTTGCGCTTATCTAGAATATCCCATTTTCCATCCATATGCCTGGTTTTCCCAATTAGTACCTTCAATGCTTTCCCTTACTTTCTTCTCAAAGACTCTCCATGATCTGACCTGATCACCCCTCCAATTATTCTCCTCAAACCTTTCTCTTGAACCTTACCTGCAGTTTCCAGTATGTATTATGGTGCTTCACTTCTCTGCTACTTTTGCACTTATTTTCTCTGCAGGGAACTCTTCCCACACCTTGTATATCTAACAAAATATCATTTACCCTCTAAGATTCAGCATAAGCATCACCTCTTTGAAGCCTTTCCAGACCACATCTTAGTCCCTCTTACCAACCCAAGCATACCTATGCCAGTTTCCCTAGAGACCAAACGCTTGAGTAGGGACAGAATCTTACTCACGTTGCGCCCACAGTTCACAACACATTGTCTGAACAAGAGTAGACGCTACTGTAAAAATGTCTGGTGATTACACACCAGAGCTAAAACACTGCTTTAGAAGGACAAGGGCCAATGTAATATCAGTCATGACTTCCTTCATTTCCCCAGGTAGGCTCCAATCTTTGAAAGACGCCAACACCTGGAATTCCTAGTTCGAGGCCATGGATGGAAATGGCTTCTCTCCATTCCATTCCCCGAGCCCTGGAGCGGTGCAAGTGAGCTGGGCCACAGGTGACACACTGTCCTGGCTGCTAGGAGGTCCTGACCGATAAACTTTTTCAAAACATGGTCAACGAAAGAGAGAAACGTTCTTTAGTCCAAAAGAGACAGACAGACAAGAAAGAGAAGAAGAGAAGAGAAATGAGAGGGGCTCGATAAAGGAAAAGTGGCAGAGGCGCTGCGAGGGGCTGGAGAGCCGAGCGCGCGGCGGCGGGAGGGGATGAGAAATGTGGGGGAGAGAGGAGGCCGGAAGCCAGACTCCCGGGGGCAGCGCCTGGGGACGGGAGCCAGAGGCAAAGGGAGACCGAAGCAAAAAGGGGCGATAAGAGAAAGCGCAGGAAAAGAGGAACCCGAAAGAGTTGGCGTATGAGACCGTCGGCAGCTCTGGGCTGGCCCGGGTCAAAACCTCCCGCTCCCACCGCGGCGCGGCCTAAAGCTGGGGCCTTACGTTCAGCTCTGTCCCGGGAAGGCGCTCCCGCCCCAGCTTCCCTGCCAGGCCGCCGGGGTGGCGGCGAAGGGGGTTACTTACCCGGCCCACCCGGCCGACTTTCCCCATGGGCCGGAGCGGCGGCAGCGCGGAGCCGGGAGCCGAGGCGCGCAAGCTCTGTACCTAGCCCGGAAGCGCCGCGGAGAGAGGTGGTTTGGACGCACTCTGCGTAAACCTACCGACGACCGGAGACCACAGCTGGCGCCAACCCCTACGCCAAATCCGCAGGAGGCACCGCGGCGCGGGGGTCAGGGAGCGTGTGCTGCCGGGAGAGAGAGGACGCCTGCGCTGCGGACGCCTCGCGATAGTGCCCCCTGACGGTAGGAGGTCCGCACTGCACGCTCCCCTCCGTCGGCGTCTTTTTCTTCCACCAAAAGGTGTCGGCGTGGCGCAATCTTTGAAATTTCATAATGCTTGGAGAGGGTGACAGTGACCCCCGGATGGTAAGAAGTAGAAATGGTCCAAGGTTACAAAGATCTTAATGGGAGCCAAATGTTTTCTGGTAGGGAAGAGGGAGAGAGAATTCCTCCTGGCTCTTTATTTTGATTCATTAAAAGCCGTTCATTCATATACAAAAAGTTGAAAATAAATCACTATAAGCGAGATGAATGGGAAGAATGCTGCAAAAGAAATGGCAGTGAGCATTGAATTTATTGAACTGTAAGTCTAAGAAAACAATAGGTATGGAGATTAGGATCAAAGCAACGAATGTAAATGTTATAAACCCGCACAACTTGAAAATGATATAACAAAAGTTAGGAGGGGAAGTGAAAGTAGGACTTTGTGTAAATATGATGGTTTTTACATCTGAAATTGGAGGTCAACAATATTTCAAGCTGATAGAGATACCATTTCACTCCCACTAGGATGGCCAAGATTAAAACAACAACAACAGAAAATAAGCATTGGAGGGGATGTGGAGAAGTTGGAGCCCTCATCCATTGCTGGTGGGGATGCAAAATGGGGCAGCCCTTGTGGAAAACAATCTGGTGGTTCCTAAAAAAACTAGAGTTGGCGCTTTGATATTATCTAACAATTCCACTCCAGGTATATACCCTAGGAATCTAATAGAAGTGACACAAACGTATACACACCTATGTTCATCACAGTGCTGTTCACAATAGTAAAAAGATGGAAACAATCTAAGTGCCCATCGATGGATTTATGGATAAGTAAAATGTGGTACATACATACAATGGAATACTACTCGTGATAAAAAAAAAAAATTAGCTCCCGAAACATCTTGGAACATGGATGAACCTGGAGTATGTTATGTTGAGCAAAAAGAGTCAACCACAAAAAAACAGATGTTGTATGTTCTCACTTCTATGAAATGACATGAACAAGTAAATACACAGAGAGTAATGTTCATTAGTGGTTACCAGAGATGGAGGGTTGGGGAAGAGTGGAATTCACTCTCTAGATAATAGACACTTGTAATTTTTGGTGATGGGAAAGGTACACCACCGAATGAGGGTGAAGTGTACACAGCTTGATGAAGGTAAATGATATCAGTAAAAAGTACACAAGAAAAAAGGATCTGTTGGTAATTGTTATGGCATATGTAGTTTTGAAACAACAGCAAAAACAACCAAAAATATACGTAGGGGTGTACCTGTATGTAGGCATGTATACATGTGTGTATGGGTAGGTATCATGGATTGAACTGTGTTCCTCCAAAATTCTGTCAACTTGGCTATGCCATGATTCCCAGTATTGTGTGATTGTCCACCATTTTGTCATTTGATGTGATTTTCCTCTGGGTTGTAAATCCTATCTCTATGATGTTAATGAGATGGGATTATTGGCAGTTACGTTAATGAGGCAGGACTCAATCTACAAGATTGTATTGTCTCTTAAGCCAATGTCTTTTGATATATAAAAGAGAGAAGGGAGCAAAGAGACATGGGGACCTCATACCACCAAGAAACAAGAGCCAGGAGAATAGCGTATCCTTTGGACGCAGGGTCCCTACAATGAGAACCTCCTTAACCAGGGAAGATTGATGACAAGGACCTTCCTCCAGAGCTGACAGAGAGAGAAAGCCTTCCCCTGGAGCTGGTGCCCTGAATTTGGACTTCTAGTCTACTAGACAGTGAAAGAATAAATTTCTCTTTGTTAAAGGCATCCACTTGTGGTATTTCTGTTACAGCAGCACTAGATAACTAAGACAATAGGTGTATGCATATGTATATGTATATGCATCTATGTGACTGTAAGTACATATATTCACATATATAATAAGACACATAGACAGCACAGTTACAGATACTTCTTAGACGTAACCAAACACCTCGCAAGATTGGATATCTGGGTTTCAATGATTAGGACTGTAGTCTTGTGGGACATCTCAGTCAATTGGCATAATATAGTTCATAAAGTTATGTTCTTCATTCTAGTTTGGTGAGTAGTGTCTGGGGTCATAAAAGCTTGTGAGTGGCCATCTAAGACACAAAGATTGGTCTCTACTTGTCTGGAGCAAAAAAGAAAGAAGGAAACCCAGGACTCAAAGAAGAAACTAGTTTACAGGACAAATAGTCTACAAGAACTGTGGCCCCATCTACCCTGAGACCTGGCTGCTACTACCAACCATTCTGATCAGGGCCACGATAGATAAACTCTGATAGAATGGGAGGAAAATGTGGAACAGAACCTCAAATTCCTTACAAACAAACAAACAAAAAACCACACCTGCTGGACTGGTTGAAACTGGAGAACTCCACAATATTACTGTCCTAAAATACTCTTCAAAACTTGAATGGAAACTAACCCCAGAGGTCACCTTGTAGCTAAATAACAAATTGGCTCAAAAAATAATGAACATCACCTGAAAGTACTATGTTCCTTTAAAAAATCACCTATATGAGACCAAATGGTCAACAGTTACTTTAAAACAAAGATGAGAATGTAAGGGAATAGGAAAACCAGATTAGTGGAAATGAAACAACTAGAATAGAAAAATGAGAATGTTCACTCATTGTGAAGAATGTAACCAAAGTCACTGAACAAGTTGTGTAGAAGTTGTTGAATGGGAGCCTGAACTGCTATGTAAACCTTCACCGAAAACAGAATAAAATATTATTAAAAAAATATTTCAAGCTGATAAATCAAATAATAGAGATCTAAGTATACATCTTAGTACAAATGAACAACTAAAATTTGATGATTAAGAAAAGGCGGGGGGGATATAGTAGGTAGTCAATAGACAATCTAAGAAATAGAGGGTGTGATGAGCTGGAGATGAAAAATAAAAGTAAGTTTGTTCATGGTTGTAGCTGTCAGTAAATAATTGATATTTACCCAGTGGCATTTCCATAGCTTTATTACTTACGTAGTAATTGGAACGCAAAGAAAAGTGTAAAATTTCATCTCAGACCGGTTCCCCCCAGAAAAGGTCCTTCATGCAGAGATCGCTTCCAAGTTCATACAGCCGCTCGATACGTCATGGGCAAGGAGAAAAAAGGGGCAAAGGGCCCTGAGGCTTATATAGTTGGGATGAAGAGGAAACCAGAGGGGTATGTGTGCTGAGGGAAAGGGAAACAGTAGAAAAAGAGGGTCCTTTATGCAGTCTGGGCTCAAGATGCATGGTGGCCTTGTGGTCAGCTTTGAGGGTGTCAAAGGAAAAAAATATAACCTCCCCTTCCGGAATCTAAGATTAGATCTTGCCAGCATGCAATTATACAGTTAATCATATACCTCTAGGAGAACTTAACAGCTAAAGCACTAGGGGAAGGGGTCTGCTTCTCCTAGGGCTCATTCTTTCAGTACAATTTTAGTAGAAGAGTCATGCAGGTGATGGGGGAGAAACTGCTCTCCGCTGCCCTTGCAGAGGATTAGGGACATTACTTAATGTTATAGTTATAATGGTAACCTAGAACAAAAATATAAACCTTTCGAAGTATCAATAAGCATAAGTACTCAACAAAACAAACAAAACCACATGGGCAAATATTTGAAAAAGTTACAAAACAGAAAGCATTAAAAAAAACAACATGACAGAAGTAAGACAAACATCTCACATTAATAAATGTAAATAAGCTAAGTTTACCTATTAAAAAAGTACAACTTCAAATTGGAGTACAAACCGTAATGTAACTCTATACTATATTGTATGCAAGAAAGAGTGCTAAACTTCTACTTTAACTGAAAGTTTAAAAACACGAGAATGGAATAGACATACCAGGAGTATGCCAACAAAGAAATCAGGGATCACAACTTTCTATTACACAAGGTTGATTTCAGGATAAAAAGCATTAAATGAGACTGAGAAAGGGTACAATTGACAATGAAGAAAAACAATAGGAAAAATTATGCATCAAATAACAATCTCATTATTCATAGCAAACATATAAAGAGAATGAATAGGCAAAACCCATTGATGCAGTCCTTGACAGATTAAGAGCACAAAAAGTAAACGAGGAGAGAGAAGACTTGAAAATATAATGAATTAGTAGATGTAATATATCAAACTCTGTACCCTGAAACAGAGATTATATCTTCTTCCAAATGTCCATGGAATATTCATAACAGTTGGCCACATTTTAGGTCACAGAGAAAATCTTAATATATTCTATTAAATAGAACCATATAGATAATACTGTTGTTGCTATTGTTGTTGTGGTGGTACTGTGCCGATGAGTTGATCCCAACTCATAGTGACACTATAGGACAGAGTAGAACTGCCCCGTAGGGTTTCCTAGGCTGTAAATCTTTATAGGAACAGATTGTGAGGTCTGTTCTCCTGCAGAACAGCTGGTGGGTTCAAATTGCTGACCTTTCAGTTAGCAGTCAAATCATTTAACCATTGCACCACCAGGGCTTTCTATAGATAATTTTATCTGATCACAATTCAATAAAACTGGAAATTAATGACAAAACAGAAAATAAAACAGCCTATGATGGTTAAGATTTTGTGTCAACTTGGTCGGGCCATGATTCTCAGTGTTTTGGCAGTTGTATAATGTTGTGATCACTTCCCTGTTGAGATTTAATACGTGAATCACCTCCATGATGAGATCTGCTGTGAGTAGCCAATCAGTTGAAGGGGAGTTTCCTTGCACGTGCGGCCTGCATCAAGTATGGGCGGACATTTAGGCGTGGCGCTGGGGCTTTTGTTCGTTCTGGATCCTGCAGCTGGCTCCTGTTGGTCTGACCTCCGGTTCTTGGGACTTG